TGAGGTAAGAGGGACATTCCCCAGGCCCCAGGGGAAAATACGAATGGTCTGGGAAGATGAAAGCTCAGGAATGTTGCACCAAGTATCAAACAAACAATATGGAACCAAACAGAAAAGCCACGGCCAAGAGAGATAGGAACTATCAGTAGCTCTCCAAGTAAAAACAAATTATTAGCAAGCGGTCCGTTTCTCTGCAAGCCAAAGGCCAGGTGCGCCCAATTGGCCTTTCCTTCCTCAAGCTTAATTAGATACACAAAGAACAAGGGAAGACCCCTTGGCAGAAACCACAAGAATGTTTGCTAAAAGCATGCATTATTCCAGTTAACCCTCACGTGCAGGTATATGAATAATTTTTTTCAGTTCTACTCTGCAGCAGAGAAAACCGAAATTTAGTGAGTTACAATTGCCAAAGTTCAGGCAGCTCTGAAGTGGGCAGCATCTCGACTGGTACCCAGGTACTTTCAATTTCATATTTCTTGATCCTGGCTATCATGAGAATCACATGGATGTTTTGAAAAAGCATCAATGCCTGGGCTTCAACCCCAAAAGCATTGAATGTGAATCTCTTGAGGAGCATAGGTGTCTGAAAAGCTTCCCAGGAGATGCTAGCAGAGGCCAGCCCAGAGGCCCACCCGCAAGGCTGTGCTGTGGAGGTAACTGCTGTGCAGTAACCACATTTTGGGGGTCATTAGTGAGTGAAAAAAAAAAAGTAAAAAAAGACCTCAGACTTTTAGAGCTCTGATTCAAGAGCTAATCTTATGTCCTGTTTGCAATAGCTTGGCAATTTGCAAAGCATTTTCAGATCTTGTTTTAGTTGATTCTCACAAAATTCCCCTGCGGTCCTCATTTTGGTGACTGAGGCTCGAAGAGACTGAGGCATCTGTCCAAGGTCACACGGTGGGGATTCTGGTGCTCAGCCCGAATCTGTTCATTTCAAGTTCAGTGTATCAGAGGCCCTATCAGGAATCTTGAATACTCGCCTATGACTGGCTGTACAGAATTTTTCACTTTTCCCTGGATATTTGACATTGAATTTGCATCACTGGAGGCAAGGAAAGGGGGGAAATAAATGAATCCCAATAAAAATATTTTGAAATGAGATTTTTCTCTCACTAGTTGTAAGAGGGGCGAAGTCGATGCCAATGACAGCAAAGGGCGTCCTAGAGTATGGATTTTGAGAAATGTGACAAGAAAAGCTCTTGCTAGGCATGAACATGGGTGAAAAAGAAAAACAGCTAAAATGAGAAACCCTAAATGAGTCACGACTCAGGGAGTCCACTTACTTTCCATGATAGGAATGAAGAAGTATTTGAAGCTCTCGGTTTGAAACCCAAAAAGCTGACCAAGGCGTTTGGTATCTTAGGAGAAAACACGTGAAGCCTGGGAATGTGGCTTGGTTCAACGATTTATCAACTTCAGCTAAAAGAAATCTGGGCAATCTTATCACTCAGCTAGCCTCCCATCCAGAAAGCTCTGCTTACCCAGATAAGACACTGCTGAGTATTCTTCCTGAGCCGCCCTTTACTTCTCAGACACAACCGGGGGAGCTCCGGGGACTATACAGTGCTATTGTATGGAGAACCAGGTCAAGGGCAGAAGCCAGAAAATTCTCTCTATGCTCAGACTGCAGGATGTTTGAACCCAGCTCTGTTACACAGAGACACAGGGCAAGTTCTGAAGCTTTCTGAGCCTCACCATTTCCATCCATAACATGAGTATATTTATACCCAGGCTTTATATACCCGATGTCATGGGCACATGGCCTGTGTAATTGGTCAGAGCTCTGCGCTTAGAAGGGCTCCGTGCTTGGTTTATGCTCTGTTGCCACTGTCTTGAAATTCTTGACACTTGTTAAACAAGGGGCACTGCGTGTTCATTTTGCACTGTTCCCTGCAGATTGGGCTGCTGCACCTGTTTATACCTGTGTCACAGAGTTGTTGGAAAGGACTTGAAGAGGTCAGGTACCGGGTGCCACCCAGGCCTGGCGTGTGGAAGGGGCTGAGGGAAGGTAGCCATGGTGATCACTCTTTTCACACTGCTGAAGTGGCGGGTGTGTTACTTGGCCCCAGGATACTATGTCATATGCAAGCTAGGTGGACAGAGTCAAGCCAGAGGCTCAGCTAAAGCCATGAAGATGGACCACTCTGTCCCTTAGATGGTTTGCACGTGCTGTTGCCGAAGCTTCTCAAAGCTTCTCCCTCAAGTTGGTAATCTGTTCACACCCATCACTGGCTCTCCTTCCTTCTCCATGGCCTTGCAGACAGAGAAGTAGATGTGCTTTCCCTCTGATGGCACTACTGAGTAGAATGACCATCAGGTCACCAGGAAACAATCCAGGAAAGAGTCCACTGCCCCATAGGCAAACACCAGAGAGAGAGAGAGAGAGAGGCAGCAAATATACACCAGGAGAGGGAGACAGAAGGGAGGTTGATAAAGGGAGATGGCATTCTTCTCTGTGAGCTCCATCTTTCTAGAGAAGATGATGTGCAGCGTTGTCGTATATGAAACTCATTTCTGAAGGGCTGGGTATAAAGCAGATCAAGTAAAAACAACTTTGTGCCATCGGGGCACTGATTGAGATGCTGAGATGAGAGATCGTCTCAGTGAACGGTCCCTGAGCTTTACCTGGGCCCAGCCATGGCGCCAGAGCGGCTCAGTCTCCATGCGTCCTGTTTAACATGGCGCAAGCCTTCTGTCCCACAGCATCGTCAGTTACTTTTGGCTGCATCCTTTTAGTGCTTGTTAAATATAGATCTTCTCTTCAGGAAAAGCCTGTCAACCTAATGCTGTGAGTAAGCACAGCATGCCGGGAAGGGCAGGGGCACGCAGGTCTGATCTCAATGAGGACGGCAGGGCCCCAGTATGGAGACCCCATCATCAGGTGTCCTGGGAAGCCTGCTGAGAAATGTGTGAGTGCTGAAGGAACCTGGTGCCAAGCGGAAAGCAAAGCCAACACTGAGCAAGGATCCACAACAGCAAAAGTCACAGCAGCAGCTAGCAATTATTGAGCCCTTAATATATGCCAGGCGCTGTGTAAGAACTTTATGCTTATTATTATCTCATTAACTCTGACAGCAACCCATGGAAGTAATTATTATTATCATCTTCATTTTCACTGTAAGGAAACCAAAGCTTGGAGAGAGGTAACTTGACTTATTCTAAGTCATGCAGCTAGGAAATGTCAGAGCCTGGATTTGAACCCAATCCATTGGACTCTAAAACCCAAACTCTTGTTGCTCTTCCTGGCCCCAGGAAGGGGCCCCTTCAAAGAGGCCCCGGAGGTGTGTCAACTAACTCCCAGATGACAGCAGTTGCTGTTCCAATGGAGGAAAGTCCCCAGCCCTTCCCTCTTCTCAAATGTGTTAGCTACTCTCCTAGTAAAAGAAAGTTCTAGAGTCATGCCAACCATACCTCACCCACATTAAGCAGAAGACTAGGAATTTAAAATTCTACTACAACCTTTTCTTTCCCCCCTCCCAACAAACTATTAAAAGAAATATCCAAGAGGGAAAAGGGGGGAAAAAAAAAGATTTTGTTAAAGAAGTTGAAAAACATGCTTTCAAATGAGAAACATGTGTGTGATTATTCTTCATCTTTTGTCTCCCCCCCACTACCAAGTTGAAAACAAGCTAACACGATACAAATGTACACATCCACATAAAGATACGAAAAACCAGGGGTGCCCTGGATGGCAGACAACCCAGAAGCTGCCCTGGGACGTTTTAAGAAGTCCAGGAAACTCCATAGCAACCCGAGTTCAGCTCCAAGCAAAGCTTTCAAGCATGTGCACAACGACTCTTGGCAAAAAAAAAAAAAAAAAAAACAAGCTAGAAACTGTACTTGAATTTTAAAAAGGGAATTGAGCAGAAGCGAACCCTCCGCTACAGGCAGGCCTGAAAGCGAGTGTGTCAGAGATTGCAGAAGTGCTGGACTTATGCCAATTTTTTTTTAAATATCATTTCTTGTTTTCCCTCCTTCTGGCACAAACAAGCTATGGAATCACAAAAATTGGGTCATCATTTTCAAATTCCCTGCTTTCAGCACAGGGCTCGGTTGGTCTTGTTGACTGGCTTAAAAGTCTGATTTCCTGAGCTCACACTTGCTGGCTATTGAGCTGCAGGAGTGCCTTTCCCACTGGCAGCCAATGTGTGATGGTTCTCACAGGCGAGCTGAGGTCCATCTTTGTATTTCCTGCTGTTATGTATTTAACAGCATCCAATGTGCCCAGGAAAGCACCACTTCAAAGGCTGCCATTTCCTGGGAGGCCAAGAGAAGGGAGACAAGTAGACTCCTGGAGGATATTCCTGACATCCTGATCTCTCGGGGTGATGGCTTTTCCCATAGGCACTGGTGATCCCAAGAGCATGGCTAGCCTTCCCCGGGAGCGACACTGCGAGGAAGGTGTGCTTCACAAGCCTTTCGTTAGGGGCAGCGAGAGCTCTCAGGACCCAGTTGAGCAGCACATGCCACCAGTGGAATTTGGCACCATCTGGGTTTTCTTCTAGCAGCAGATGTAAACTTACCTCCATCTGGGAGCAGGTGTTGAGACCTTTCACTTGATTTTCTAAAATTATATCAACAAGTTCTCTAAATATCACTTTCCGTCCCTGAATTCCAGATTTCCAGCAAGCTTCCCTGGCTTGTCCATGTGAGACAAAATATACACTCCTCCTTTTTGACCAAGTGAAAAACGTTTCCTACGCTTTTGCACTCCTTTGCTGGAGACTGATATAATTGTGTCCCAGTGCAGGCTCCGACTTCAATATCGGCCTCCAATAAACTCTATACTGGGCGAACAGGAAACTCATTGTGAGCTGTGTTTCTAAGACTCTTAACACTCATGCAGGAGGCATCAGATTTCAGCGAGATCTTCTGGCGCATGAACACAAGTACAAACCAGCCACGGGGTCAAGTCTGGGCTTGCTTTATTTGACCTTGGTTTGTTTTATTTTATTTAGGCAAACTCTCTCGGGGGGTGCAGGGGACCATAAAATCCTTACCTTTTAAAGGAGCCCATTGTTAACAATTTGTTCATCACAGCTCCCTCGACCTCACCAAAAAAGTCTCCAGTCTGCGAGGAAGAAAAGAAGACCCATGAGGAAGTGTAGATAAACAATGTGCCCAAATACCAGAGAAGAAAAAGAAAAACGGACACAGTCTGTCCTAGAGCTGACAGGAGCAAAAGGCAGGTTTTTCAGCACTACTGTTACATAAAAGTGGAAAAGGTCTTAATAGTCCTGGGATAACAGCAAACTAGTAAGCAGATGTGAATGTCCCACAGTGCATGGCAGGGGCGGGGGGAGGGCATTTGCATTGTAACATGTGCTGAGAGCTGGAATTAAAACACCATGCACACACACACACACACACACACACACACACACACACACACACTACCCTTGGATGGAGTAAGTACTAATCTGCACTCAATCCCTTGTGATTAAAACACTACTTCATACAGACAGAAACAGGCTGTGAAAGGGCTTCCTAAGCAGTAATAAAAAGAATTGTTTATAATTCCTGGATGACCTGTTTAGGGAAATATAGCAGTCCTCTTCATCGGCCCTATAAATTTCCTACAGTTGAGAAACCGTCCTTTCTCAAAATCACTTTCTGAGGACCACTCGTGTTTGGTCCACAGGCAGTCAATATGTTGACAAGGAGTGAGACAGTCTGGCCCCTCGAGGAGACAGCACGGTCAGTCAGGTCTCCAGTGGTCTCCTCCTACTCTGGGGCTGTCCTCAAGGCACGTGGGGACCAGAGGTCCTTCCCCACCACCAGCCTGATCGTTTTGCTAGTCTCCTTCATGGCGCTGGCCGAGATTGGCAAATTCCGAATGGTGCATAAAGGATTCACATCCTCAAGCATCCTTCCAGGCTCCCGGAGTCACCACCATCATCGTCTCATTGGGGAGGGTGAACACAGTACAGAAGAACAGAGTGGGGCACCACCCTGGAATGGGCCAGTGTAGACCAGTAGAGAACACCTATCTCTACTGTGGCTGTTCTAAGGTTTTGTACTATAGCTCATGTGCGGGTGGGTGGAGGGCAGTTCTCTAGGAGCCTGAATTAATAATACATTCCATACTGAATCCCAATTCCATTACAACTGAGTGATCTCAACCACGCTCCTTGGAGTTTTGGGGCAGAAAGACCTACATGGACTTTGCCAAAAAGTCAAGAAAGAGAGGCAGAAGAAGGAGGAAACACCGCACTGACAATATTCCACTCTGGGGGCACTGGGACCTTTGGGAATGTCTGTGGGCATGGCACGTGCTGCTGCCAGCAGCAGGAAGGACATTGGTGTTTCATGTGTGTAAATATGCCCGTGTCAATGGAACTGGTTGTTAGAGGAAGAAGAATTACCCAACCTGGGGTGCAGGAAAGCAGACATCAAGCGGGCCTAGGCAGAGCAGGCCAGGGGGCTCCCTGGGCAATGTTGTGGGCCTGCTCCCCAGAGAGACAGCAGGGAACAGGGCCCACACGCAGCGGCCATGGCTTTGTCACAGCCGCTATTTCTGTGCTTCGCGTTGATGGCTCATCCGGCACTCACTGCTGAACCATACCCGCCACGTCCTTTCTCCCCAGTCTCAGCCCCTCACCATTATGGCGGGTGGCCAGGGTTCCTCTCACAGGTGATTAATTAGGCTCCTTGCTCTATCAATCACTCTTCTTTAAAAAAAGAAATCATGGTAGTATTGGCTACTCACCTTATATGTTTCAGGGGCACAACACTGTAATCTAATATTTGCATATGCTCTAGTGTTGACCACTAAAGGTCTAGGGTCCGTCTGTTGCCATACACGAATAGCTTGGTGTTTTTCCTCCCAAATGGGGATAGTACCATAGGCCTATGGACGTCGCTGCTGCCTCAGAGTCTGGCCTCGTTTCATAGGCTTATTCTCCCTATCTAATGGCCATTAACTGTTCAACGTCCACTGATGTTCAGCAGCTGAGAACATGGGGTGTTGGCACTTTGCGCCTCAATAGTATGATTTTTCACCCATCAAAGGTGCACTTAAAAATCCCACAACAATCTTCTGGATAAGAGCGGAAACAAGCACAGTTCCACACGTTCCCTGGGGCCAGTGCTGATAAACGAAGAAGCACTGAGCTCTGACCCTCAGGAACCACACTTAAGGACAATGAACTACTTTATGAAGCATCAATGGGCCTATTGTACTGTTGACCACCAAAGAATTTCAAATGGTTTAAATGGGACTGCATTATAAAATGTTAGTATCCTCCAATACCAGAGTTAGAAGGAGTCTGACTAGTCAGCCATCTTCCTTTCACAGAGCCTTCAGATGGCCCAGGCAGGTTAAGTGATGTGCACAAGGTCCCAAAACTAGTTACGAAGAGAGCTCCCGCCAGAAACCCTCTCCCTTCGCCTCTCTGTTACACCACACTGCTAACCATGCTTGTATTTTACCCTCTTTTAATATGCTAATTTAATTTATAATTGCAAAAAAAGGTTTAAAGGAGAAACCCATGTTTCTCTATTACAATACTATTGATTTTAACTCTTATTTATAATTTCAAGATACAGTGGTGATTTCTGTGCTCAGCCCCATAGTTGTTTTTTTTTCCATCTCCTTCCCTCCTGCCCCCAACATGGCTCCGTCAAAAGAAGAACATTCTTTGTCTTCTGTGTTGAGAGCCTAAGTTAATCTTCGAACTCAGATAATTGATTTTCAGAAAGCAAAAACTATAAGGAATAATTATGCTGGATATATATCTGTGTCTGTGTATATAAAAATTATATATGTGTGTATACACACACACACACACACACACACGGAGATAAAATATCAAAAGGAGGAAAACTCCTTAAGATTGTCCAAACTCTTTAAGGCACCTCTACCCTTGAGGCAAAGAGATCTATAAATTGAACATTTTATGAGTGAGAGAGCAGACCCTGAGCTCTATAGCCCCCCCCCTCACCCCCCACTGGGAGGTAAAAACTCTTTGGGGCCTGCTGAGAAGGAGGTCTGACATTCTTAGAAGGATGGAAATAAGGTTTTATAATCTCCTGCTATGACCTCTTAAATATAGACCATTGTCTCAAAGCTTTAACACCATAATTTGTTTTCCTTGAGCCGAGCACATTGTGAACGCCTTACTCTTGAGTCGGGAGAAACTTTTCGCTCACCTGTGTGTAGTCTTCAGACACCAGAATAAATCCATTATTGTCTATGAGGTAACAGTTCACAGTCTAGAAAAGAAAAATACCACAGTTTCAACTTTGTATCCTCAGACTGCTTTTACACAAAATGACGTACTTCCAACCTGAGGGAAACCTATTTTGGGTTGTTTTGGGGGAATTGGGAATGCCTCTGGCTGTAGGAGGTAAGGCCATGGTTTAGCTAAGCCCACAGCTTATTTTGCAAAACTAACAAACAAAAGCAAAACACCAAGCTAAGCCTGAACACCCTGGATTAGGATACAGAAGAATACGCATTAATGATTAATTACAGTTTGTCTTCTTTTTATTTTCTCTATAAGACCTGAATAATATTTCCCAGGAACAGTGTTCAGAGGCCCTGAGCCCATATTCAAAGCGGTTGAAGTGGAGGCTGTTTGGAAAGCAAAACGCCAGCACAGTGTCATTACTCTAATGATGTATCAATGAAAACACCATGTCAGCTCCGAAGACCATCAGGGGACCAGGTCATATTTTTTAATTTGTTCATAGACTTAGGCGGGGGGGTGAGGGGCAGACTTCTGTTAAAGGGGCCCCTCAGGCCTCCTAAAGGTTTTCAAACTGTGTTTTTAATTGGGAGCTGGATTTGGAGGCAGGGCAGTTAGCTTTTGGTAGCTCAGACTTATAAATTGTGGAAAGCAAGGTAACCCCAAACCCCTGCTTCCCCTACACTACTTTAATCTCAAGTGAATGATTTGCTACAGGCTAAGTTTTAATTACAGTGCTGTGGAGTTTAAACTTAAGGTTTAATTCCGTCCTTGATGTAACTCAGTTTCTATTTATTGCAGCTTTACATACCAACTGCAACATTTAATTTGTAACATATCTTTACCCTGAACTAAATTCCCCCTCGCTCCAGGCCACCGCAGGGCTGATGTTTTCTGGGACATTTACCTATCCATGGAGTTGGTTTTAGTCAGGCATAAAAAGCACAGCGCTGAGTTGGTCAGAAAGGTTCATCTTTAGCACAAGGCAGTGGTGGAGAATCAGCAGAAAATGAAAAGCCCTGCTAGCCCCTTTTATGAAAGACTTGGCTGCTTTGGTGAGCAATGGACTTTCTCTCGGTCACTCAAAAGGGCCAGATGAGTGGCATGGGTAACCTGGTCACACTCTTGCTACCTGAAGAAGCTCTTAGCTGCACGGAGACTGCTTTGGCCCTGGTGGGACTCCGACCAACTTCATTCTCCATTTTCAGGAGGCCGTATTACGGAAGCAATCTCATAGATCTGTGCGGTCCAATATGGCAGCCATGAGTTACATGCACACTTAAATTTCATTTTAAGTTAATTACAATTAAAATTCCAGTTCCACAGTTGCATGGGCCACATTTGAGTGCTCCATAGTAGCTGTAGCTAATGATTACGCTTCTGGACATTTCCATCACTGTAGAAAGTCCTTTTAGTCAGCTGTGGTTTCTTTTTTTGTTGTTTATTTGTTCATTTAGATTGGTACTCCAATGAGTTTTAATCCAATTTACATTGAGTTAAGATAAGTCCATATCCTTGTTTATTTGAGTGTCATGATCCTCATTTTCCAGATCTAGACACTGAAGCAAAGGGAGGTTACCCCCAATTCAATCAGTAAACACATGCTGAGTATAGGAGTGGCCTCCATATTCACATACTGACCCTCTGAATCCTCCCAGGTGTGTAGAGAATCAAAAGTCATCATAAACCACCCCTAATTATAAAATTAGTTCCCACTCAAATGTCCCTAGCCAATTTGTACTCTTTATATTAGACCTATGGCTTTTGTCACTATCTCTGTTTGTCTAATGTTATAACTATTGGCCAATACGAGGCAGGTATAAGGGAAATAGATTATAAAGTCAATTGAAAATCTTGTGAAAGAGGCAAAATTTCATGAAGTCCAAGAGAGTGATGTTAGAGACCAGCTCCAATCACAGAGGGAAGTCATTGGCATTAGGATCTGTCAGAAGTAACTCATGAAGAAAGAAAGAAAAAAAAATCACTGTAGATAATATGAAAGATGCTCCCAAAGAGAATGATTTCAAAAGCAAGGGACGAAGAGCAGCTCCTGGGGAAACTGGTCAAACTCTACCATATCTGACTCTCCTGTGATCATTCTGAGAAAATCAAATGTAAAGTAAAGAAGTCTATATCGTGGTATTTTATAATTTTACCAGAAACATTATATAGTTGACCCTTGAACAACATGGGTTTGAACTGTGCTGGTGCACTTATATGCAGATTTTTTTCAGTAAATACTGTAAATGTATTTTTTCTTCCTTATGATTTTCTTACATTGTCTTTTGCCTAGCTTACTTTATTGTAATACATATAACATACAAAATACGTGTTAATCGACTGTTTATGTCATCAGTAAGGCTTTCGGTCAACAGTGGGCTATTAGTAGTTAAGTTTCTGGAAAGTCCAAAGTTTACACACAGTGGTGTTCAAGGGCCAACTGTCCTCCCCACTCCCAAACCTCACTCAATTTTATTTCTTTGTTTGGATAATTAGAGTATAACTGCAATTATAACCTAAGTTTCTTAAATAGAATAAATGTATTTTCACAAGTTCCACTTCCTTTAGAGCCAACGCTTCAAAGAAATGTTTCATTATGTGCTGTAAAGGAGGACCTCTGTGCACCTTAACTGGCCAGCAGTGGGTGGAATCGAGGTCGGGATGGCCATGAGGAGACCTGGCTCTCAGGCACCTGCCCTTGCTCCCGCTCTCTTGTGATGTGGAAGGGACAGATGTGAGAGTTCTAGAGCAGGAGTTAAGGCTGTGTCAACTCAGAACTTGGAAAACCAAGCTGTAGGAATAGAACAATGGCACCTTGGGGAGAATGCCAGTGGAAATCTATCACACAAAGAAGTTCTTCTTAAAACGTGTGGTCCTCTCTAATAATAAGATGAATTAATAGGATGCATAAAGAAATAATAATACCAAGGAGAAGACAAAGAAAAGAACAGCAGCTATAGGAGGACATCAACTCACGCACGTAATTCTTGCTTTTCACACTGTCAAGTAGAGATTATCCACTTGGACAGAGGAAAAAACTGAGGCCCAGAGATATTACCCTTCCCAAGGTCACACAGTGAAGCAAGTGGACATGAGTCCAGTGCTACATGGCCCCAAAGCTCACTGCTTTCAGGGGCCAAGCCCTCTTCCTCACCAAAGACAACAGGACATCGTTAGGGTCCTGGGGTCGTGCTGGCTCCTGAAGGCTTTTCCTGTTTGCAAAAAGCTATCCCTTAACATACATATCGCTAAGGACAGATCTCATCTGCCACATGTCACCAAAGGAAACATGACAAATGACAGAAAAACCAGCCAGACCAGTTAGGACCCCGAGTGTCTGGAGTGTTAGTATTATGGCTGAAACCAAGTAAAACCAACAAAAGCGACTGGTGCTTGGGGTCATTTGGTAAAGTGGTATCAACCCCAATTTTAGGTCACTGGACTCCCCAATCATATGATTTTGAAGTTAGTATCTGAAACCAAGTGACTTTGTCAGATACAGCTGAGGGGGATTTTCTGTACATCTCCATCCCTTGCTAAGGAACAATCTATGGAAGAAAAAAAACAGAACAATATTATAAGCTACAGTCTAAAAATACACTTGATGATCCACTCGTTTTGGTCTGATTGGTCTGCAACCTACCAGCTGGTGATGGGACGAGGAACAGGAGGGCTGACCGAGGCCCCCGGAGGACTGTATGTCTGAGCTTTTGTTTGCTCCAAAGGCGCCTGACATTTTGCTCCAGCACAGCAGGCACGCTCTCCTGGGTCAGGACTGGGGATTAGCATTTGCCTCGGCTACACTGAGTACCAACTGGCATTTACTTCCATCTAACATTTTAAAAAAAATTTACCTTTTCTTCCTTATGTTAGGATTCCATGCCAGGACCTTGATGGCAGAGAAGATGCCATATTGTACTTGTTGATGAGTAAGTTTGAATTTCAAGGTTACACAGATAATTAAAAGATCTGGCCACAGTATTGAGCAAGAAACAGATAGTGACAATGTTACGATTTCAATCAGTGAGAAAATCACAGGTCAAAAGCGAGGCTGCTGTGTCATTGATGTGACCTGGTTTGCTGACTCTGAAAGGCATTAAGTCTTTCTGAAAGGTATTAAGTTTTCATAGGCAATGCTGTTTGTTATGTTAGGTAAATTTAATCACCACAATGACTTCCTGAACAGACCTCCCTGCCAACAACCACTTGGGTTAAATTACTACTGGGACGTGCAGTGGAGTGGAGTAGGCCCACTGGAATTAGGTGAGCAGGGTACTGGGTTATGGAAAAATCAGAATTAGCCAGATTCCTATCTGATCCATTGCTTTCTCCATGTCTCTTTACAACAAATCATATTCAGTTGCCTTCTCCACCCCCCCTCCAATAAAAAGAAATAAAGGAGCTATTTTCTTAGCTTTCCCTCACTATACTACGTGTCCCCCATATAAAGCCAAACATCTTAGAAGGTGTCTGCCCATCACTCTGTCCCAAGGCTGGGCTGGCAGGCTGGAAGCCTTGGAGAAATGAGGAGCTCAGTTTCGACAGATATCGTAAGCACCTACTCCATGGCCACCTCTGACAAAACATCTAAGGATGTGGTTGTCTGAAAAACGCAGAGATAAAGACAGAGAGAGAAAGCAGAGAGAAGTTGGTTTTTTTTTTTTTTTAAAGAAGACATCTTTCTTCAACTATTTGATGACACACTATTGCTCAGAAAAGTTCGATTCCAGGTCACAAAGGCAGAACAGGCAGCACCTGAGGTTAAAGCCCCAAGCCAGGCCATGGAAACCGGGCAGTCAGAGATACGAAGGAAGGGTACCTGGGGGTGTGGAACAGGGTGCCAAGCTTGTGTTAGCTGGAAGGTGGTATTAGCCCCTAGGAAGCTAAGATACTAGCTTGAGACTCAGGGACTCTGATATTTGCTATCAGTGTGACCTAGAACAAAGTCTGTTAACACTCCGAGTGTCAGTTTTCTTATCTGAAAGATGGAGATAGCAATAATTATTTCATGGCGTTGTTGAGAAGATTAAGTGGGAGGGTGAGTGCAAAGTGCTGAGCACAGTGTGAAGTGTGTAGTGGATAGTCAGCCCTCAAAGAAACTGCTGACATCCTTTCAGCACATGTTTATTGGTCACCTACTGTGTGCCATCTTAATAAGCCTCCAAATGCTATACATGTAGAGTTTCTCAGAGACGGAAGTTGTTCCACATTCACAGCAAAACGTTGTGGAGGCAGGTTGGTTGCCTGTTGTTTTCATTTGTGAGGAGAAAGAGAGAGGAGAGGAGAGAGAAGGGAGAATGGGGGTGCTGGGTTCTTACACCTGATGGTGGGGCCTGAGTTTCTGCATCTCAGGCACACAAGGTGCCACTTCTTCCTACCTTTTCTCCAGGTCTCACGATATATTTTGATCGTGGAACAGATTGACTCTTACTTCACATCACTTGTCGTACCTTTTCATCATAGGTCAACTATCATATCAAAATTCTGTCTTTTTAAAAATAATTTTATTTTCCAATGAGAGTCAACATACAATATTATATTAGTTTCAGGTATACAACAGAGTGATTAGACATTTATATAATGTATGAAGTGATCACCCTATAAGTCTAGTACCCACCTGATACTATATGTAGTTGTAATATTATTGACTATATTCCCTATGCTGCACTTAACATCCCAGTGACTGTTTAGAACTGCCAATTTGTACTTCTTAATTGCTTGACCTTTTTTACCCATCCTCCCAATACCCCCTCCTACCTGGAAACTATCAATTTATTCTCTGTATCTATGACTTGTTTCTATTTTGTTTGTTCGTTTATCAAAATGCAAAGGGGTCACTTTGGACAGAAGTGCCTGGTAGGAGTCGCCTGTGCCCTTGCCCTCAATAGTTATTCCAATGACCCTCTAGCCCCACTGGCGGGGCTGGGTGATTCCGGAGATGGAGGGATCTGGCTACTTGATTTAGCCCTTCTCACAGCCTGTCATACTTCAAGGAGGTTTTTCAGATTCCAGAGGAAATGCCCAAAAGGTCTCACAAGTCTAATCATGACTATTGTTCTCTATTCCTTTGGAATCAGTGAGGACGGCAGCTGAATTTGAATATGACAATTTCTACCCACTCACTGCCCCCACCTCTCCTCCAAATGCCTTGGAAGGGGAGAACCTTCTCACCATCCGCTCTTTGCAGAGCACTGTGCCCTCCTCAGGAGATGATGGGTTGGAAAGGTGAGTGGGAGGAGAGAATGAGAGGAGTGAGGAGACAATGGTTCCCGTGGGTCAGGCTGACACCAGACGTGGGCATGGCCCTCTCTCTTCCCTTCCCCCTAAATGCCACCCAGGTGTCCACAGACCACAATAACCTCTGCCACCTCAGCCCCTTGCCTGGTAAGCCGTGCCCATAAAGCACTTATGCTCTGGGCATTGTCTTCAATGTCATCCCCTTCTTTATCTTCAGTGACTTAAATGTTACTCCTCAGAGAAGCCTTCCCTGAGCACCCCATATTCATTTAGTTCATAATACTTACTACTGTTGATAGTCCCACATGGCATTCCCCCACTAACTAGTTAGCCCCTGGAGCACAGGGGGCCATTTCTGACTCTGTTTCCCATTGGCTCCCCAGGGGTCGAGGTACCAGGGCTCAGTAAACGTGTCTTGAAGGAATGAATGAGTATTTGACGTACTGCTTCTATGCTCTGAAGTTAACGCTCACCCTGGGTGGACTGGAGCTTCTTAAAAATCTTGCCATTGCCTGGGCCAACCAAACGTGTACCTCTGCAAGATGGGAAGACCTCTGGCCACACCGACTCCACCCACCAGCCCAGGGCACTCCAACCAACGTCCAAGGAGTCCCCTGATGGGTGAGACAGTGGGGCCAGAGTGGGTCCAAGGCAAGGCGTGTCTGATAAGTCTGAGGGAGGTGGGCCAGGTCTTCAGTGCCGAGGAGAAGGCATAAGCATATGAAATGAATGAGCCCCCACACCTGTTTTTAATGGGGACCTGATCACTTGAGGGCAGTTGGGGGAGAAGAGGGACACGGTCTGAAAGGCTTAATTAAAAGTTATGAAAGGAGAATGACACATGGAAAGAGTCTGCCGAAAGTTTGGAAAGGGGCCTCAGTGCGATGGAAGGGCTGGCTTCTCCATTTAAAACTATGTCAGCTGGTTGCCTGAAGCCCAAATTGAAGAGTCAACATGGAAAGCGGATGGCAGTTGCGAAGTGCAAAATGAGGACGTGTGAGCATCAGGTCAAGTTCGGCAATCAAAGCCAGCGCAATGCTTCACTTTCCAAGCACGTGGACCTTTAAAAAGGACATCTGAACGGAGGTTTATCCCCATAGCTGTTGAAGATAATCATTAGTAGTGAGGGAGACATCTTACCTTGTGCTTACGACACCCAGGGGAAACTGTCAGTTGCCTAAAGTGCACATTGCTGTTTCAGGTTTTAGATTCAGGTGAACCACTACTCTAAGGGAAGAAAAATTTTGCAGACATTTTTGGTTTATAGCTAGCATTTATCGAGTGCTTGGCAATTGCCAGGAGCTGTGCCATGCATTTTTCATATATCATCCGATTCATTCCTCCTCATTACTCTGTGAGGAAACTGAGGCACAGAGAGGTTCAGAAACTTGCTCAAGGTCATATAGCATATTACTGTCAGCGTCACACTGTGAAGTTATCCTAGCTCCATAGCCTGCACTTTTAACCACCTGTGAAATCAGTCATTGAACAACAAACATATATTCGATAGATGGGAATCTATTTCCACATAAAAAATACGCTAATTTTAGTTGTGAAATTAATGACCATTCTAGTTGTCATTTCCCTTTGTTTTTATATGTGAGGATGCACGGGGCAGAATGGGTTGTAGGAAGACTATTGCTTTATTCATCCAATTGTTTAACCAACTATCCATCTGCCATCCAACCAACCAATAGCAACTAACCAGCAACCCACCCAATAAACCAGCCAACCAGTCAACCAATCAACCAACCAACCAACCAACCAATTATCCAAACCACATCTATCCCACCAGTCAACCAACTATCCAGTCTGTCACCTAACTACCCAACCAAGTATCCTCAGTTCTGTTACCATAAATTGGGATTAGTAATTGTACCTACTGTACAAGTGAAGGGCTTAATCAATATCATTATTGATCTGTGTTGTCTTGAGTACTTCAATATGACAATAAATGTCTCAAGGACAGAGGTGAGGTTTGAGGCCACTTGTCTATCCTATGAATGTCATTCCCAAACTTACTGAAAGCATATTGGTCATAAAACGCCACAGAATGCTCTTTCTTAAAAAAGTTATTTTTGATCTGACAATCAGAAAAAGGTGGGCTTCTGCTGAAAAGCTGATTGGTTGACTTTTACTCTTTGGATAGTGACTCATGTAACAGTTATAATTTTTTTTTTTTAACTGGCAGCCAGATCTTTGGGGACTGTGCATTGTAGGTTCCAACTTCCTCCCTTTTATAGTTCTCTACTTGTTTTGCCTTTGCCTACTTTTTTGAAACATACTTCTAACCTATGTTTTCTATGTTGAAATTATGTTTGGCTAGGATTTCTTTATCCCTGTGGTAACCAGGAGAAATATAAATAAATGACTATTTATAAGTTCCAGTATACTCACTGACTAATGTTTAGCTAACACACAGAGAGAAGGGCCACGGGAACCAGAGTGAAAAGCCAGTACACATCTGCTTGCCCTAAAACATGGGGCAGAGGGTGTGTGGGGACGAATGCTGTAAAAACGTAATTAGAATAGGCAGACTTATGGCAGTGGTGCATTTTTGTCTCCCATTGCTCATGTGTGGGATTCAAATTCCTCCTTCCAAAAGAGTGAGAGCGAGATAAAGAGAAAGATGAAGGGAGGGGAAGGAAGATGTAGGAGAAAAACATTTTCCAGTTTTCAACTCCTAGCTTGTCAGCTCGTTTAGTACATGACACTAAGCAAATCATTTAATTTCTCGGATCCTCAATTTCCCCCTCTGCAAAACAGGATAACCATTCCTACCCATTTCACTGGGCTATTGGAAGAATAAAAAGAAAACACACGGGGAAAAGGCTTTGAGCGTTGTAATGTGAGCATCAAATGGCAGTCATTTGTGTTTTTCTCTTTAAAAATGCCAAAATTCCAACAGTGCTGTCCATGGGACATTAAAAGCACATTTCTCCAGCTCTCATAAATTACCTGATTGGGAGGAGAAGGGAAAAAAAAAAAAAAGCAACAAAGCAAATATTCTTGGGTTTTGGGAGATTGGTCCAGAGCAATCTGTCAGACCTGGCTCTGTGTATGGCAGCGTTCCCTCTGTGCAAAGGTACCCTCTGTACCTCCCCTTGGCCAGGAGGCCGTCTTACCTCATCATCGCAGCTGATGGAGCATTTGCCATCCAGAGAAGCACACTGTGGGTGGGGGGAAGGCAGGGGGAAATGTGTTATTTGGACATCCCAGGGTCTCTAGGGCTGCCACTTAGTTACTCAAGGACAAGCTATCAAAATTCTTGCCGGTTATGCAAACACCAAACTTCATTCAAAGGGAATGCGCCAAGATGAGTCTTGCCTGCGCTCTCTAGGATTAATACCAATTCCAAATAGTAACATAATAGACAAATTGGGGCTGGGAGACCTGGGTCTTTTTCATTTTAATTCATGTGGTTTCCAATATTGATATCTTTTTAAGATCTCAAAAACTTTTTAAAGTCTCAAGAAATATAATTATGTAATTTTTCATTTTTAAAGTAATTAACCGCCAGTGACTTAAAAACAAAACAAAACAAAAAACTTCTCTCTGTGTTCTTATAGTGTACTAAAGTATCTTCATTTAAGAAATGATATTATCATGCTGACATTTAGAATGGAGGCAACGTATGTGCTGTCATTTCTGCAGAATTACTGAACAAATACCAGTGCGATTACTTAGTGCAGACAGCACAGTACTAGGAAAGAATGCTCCCCGATTCTCCAAGTCAGAGAAGCCCTCTGGCCTAAGAAGGCAGACGCACGCATAGCCAAATCTAGTTATTCAAAGGCCTTCAAAAGTGCAATAAAGAGATTCACAAATAAATAGCCAGGCAGGAGAAGATTAGAAGAAAGTCACCCTGTAAATTCACCAAAGTCTCCAACATTTAAACAAAAAATGCATCCTTTGGAAGGCCACTCGCTTGATCTCACAATTAGGACTGTTTACAGGAGCAAATCCCCTGCTCTTCCAGCGTGTGGTGTCTAACATGCTGACAGCCCTTTATTTTGCAGTGAAATGAAAGGTAATCTGAGCAGCCAGCCAGCAGTTCATTTGACAAACATTCATCGGAAATCGGGCACTTTTAGGCTCCGGGTACCCAAATGTGAACACCTGTATAATAACAGTGCTGCTAATGCTTCAATGTGCTGATTATAACTTACCTGTCTGCTGGCAGTCCAGAACTTCCTTTGGAAAAATTCAAGTTTCATCTGAATGCCTACAGCTGGGAGACATTATAAATAAAACAAAGCATTAGAGATCCTTTACACATTTTTTTTAAGGTTATCACCGAGAATTATCTGTCACGGCAAGAAGCTGATATAAGCTGATATCAGATAAGAACATGTAAAAACTAAATTTTACAGTGACGCATACAACTAAGACATTTTATCTTTCAAGTAAGGAATTCTCAAGATTACCTGTACTCACGGAACTCTTGCTATAGAGCAAAATAAGCACAGTGCAGACAGCTCTTTAGAGACATATCACTGGGTATTTCCAAAAGTCATACACTCGTGGTTACCCCCCCTCCCCAACACAAGCTAGTAAGAGGAATAGAACACAAAGATATTCAGAAGATCACTGTTTCTTCAGAATTCCTGTCTTAGAAACTTGCATTTCTATAACACATCATAAAATTTGAAAAGCACTTGTCCTGAGGCTGGTATTTGGAAGTGAGTCACTTTGCTATGATGCGACTTAGTTTAACCGGCCCTCAGTAGTCACATCTCAATGAGCTTCTCTCCCCAGGAACTCTGAGGGAATTATACAATTCTGTTTGTGAAAAGCTCCCTAAAGAAACAGTGAATGCTAGTTCTAGCAAAAGAATCATACAGGAAGGGACGAAGTCATGAAAGTGACTTGAACTTTGGGAAGTGAAGTTTGGTAGAACCTCAGAACTATGACAGTGTTTCTCTCCATGAAGCCAAGACAACATAATTAACTATTAAAACCATTTCAGAAAGTGCTCAAGTCAGGGCAGAAAGCTTGTCAGAGAGTGAGAGGAGTTTGAAAAGAAAGAATGAGGCTCCGTGCTGGAAATACTGGACTCCCCGTTGGATAACATTTACCCCAGGACAGCTTTACAAACTCTAGTCCTTTGCATACAACCTCGCCAATTTTTGCCATATTTATAGATCACCAGTATTGTTATTTATCTTTTCATGTTTTTTTTTCTTTTAAGCACCTAAAGTAACTTCAACCTATGTAATAATATCTATCAAAAGAAATATACAATTACAAAGAAAAAAATGTTCACTTGATACTTTTAAAATCTTGCATGCCACCATGTTGTACTCCGCAACGTGGGTAATCATTGATGTGTTGGCTTCAGGGATTTGAAGATTCGTGAAGGTCTTGGGCTGTTACCCATATAACTATCCAGCAGGTTTCTACTTCCTAAAGACATTGTTGAAGCAAGGCCTGAGAGTCAAGGCTGACTGGGGTCTAGATTGCAGAGACTCATCCTTCTTCTTTGCACTTAGAATGTCAGGCTCTAGGAAAGGACTAGAGCTAAGCATGGCCGCAGTTTGGGAAGTGTCTGAGATGAGCCATTTCAGCACTCTGGCTCCATCCTACTTTGCCTTAAGTGTCCTCTGCTTTCTGGACCATGAGCTCCCCAAGGGCAGGGACCTGTTCTCACTGCTCACTCAATCCCTGCCCCCAGCAAGGTGCCAAGCACACAGATGTCTCATCTGTAAACACTTGCTTCCTAAAAAAATCCTTTCAGTTGATATTACAGTCTGTAGTTAGAGAGAGAGAGAGAGATGGAGCAGTAACATTAATACGGATTTTAATTTCACCCAAACAAAGGGTTATCAGTGGCAGTTCTCAACACATTAGAACAAACTGGAGAACATTAAGGAAAAGTACTATGTTGCCTTCCACCTCCACACCAAGACAAGTAAATCAGAATTTCTAGGCAAGTCGTCTAGGAAAGGGTTGTTAAAGAAAAGCATCCCAGGTGATCCAAAGGAGCAGCCGGAGCCCAGCACAGCTGCTCTATAGGCCTTAGTGAATTGGCCATCCAGGACCTACCACGATGTAGGCCACTTTGTCAGATGACAATATGAGATGCTCCTCCCAGCCCTGGAGATAATATCAGAGAATACCCAAGGGAAGCTGATTTTGGAGACTGAGGACTGTTTACTGCATTTTCAAGTGAATCTTGTCTTCCAAAATGCCTGACAGGCCTCATCCCTGTTGGGATGAGCCAACCACAGAAGCAGTGAACCAGGGTGCAGCCTGGGTTTTCTCAGCTCCCCCAGCAGGCACAGGTGGGAGCCGGCCCTGTGCTCTCAAGAAGGGGCTTGGAATGAGTATCCCTGGTTCTACCAAAGACAGGGAGGGCAGAAGAAAACTGGCTCCAGAGCAGAGGGCCTGAAACTGTCTTGAAATCCAATCATTGGTATCTAAGAGGAGGGTGGAACATGAGTGTCTCTCTCTTCCTCTGTGCCTCTCTCTCTGCAGCTCCCCTCTTGCATCAGTCTCCAGGCTGGCAGTCAGAGAGTATTTCTGAGGCTTCCTCTCAGGCCCAAGGTCGGCAGCCATGGCAGGCTTTGAGACCCTATAGGATAGAAGTAGAGGGTTCTCTGAAGGAGTCACCCCATGGTGACCTTTCCATGGGGTTTCTAGCTCTAGCAGCCCAGAGCCGCTCCTGGCCCATCCATCATCTACTGAGTTCCTCCATCAGCGACCCATGTCCTTTCTGAGCACCCCTCCCCTTCTGTGATGGAGCCCTGTTTTCACCTCCCTAATGAAGTTGGTTGCTCCCTCCTGGGTGTTTATCCATCTCACATACTTGCAGCCTGCTATCATCTGCCCCTTTCAGTCTGTACCCCAGCTCCTCAGAGTGCTTTAATCTTTCCTCATGAGTCAGTCCCTCCGTCCCATTAATCATGCGGGCTGCTTCTCTCTGATCTCATTCCAACAGGCTGCATCCTCTGCCTGGTCCTGATGCCCTAAACTAGACACTGCTTCCCTCTTTCCACACCCACTCTTTTGTCTGGGCCATGGGGTTGATGCCAGAGCGCTCATAGACAGTCCTGACTGCAATGGGTCCTCTCAATTTTGACCTGGCTGTGTTTTTGCTCGCTGACCCCCATACTCCCTCCATAACTCTGGCCCCTGGCTTTCCACAGCATGTCTGGGTTTGTAGTATTTTCACCTACAAGTTAATAGACTTCTTTACAATTAAGAGATTCACAAGCCAATTGGTGACAAACCAACTTGATGACCATTTGTTCAGTGGCCTTCTCCAAGTTGAGCTCCAAGCTGGGTACTAAGGGGAATGAAAGCACACGCTCCCTCCATGTCCAGTTGGGAAACAGCCACATGGTGAAGAGGACATCAGGGGCGTAAACAGAAAAGTGCAGAGCACAGAGGGTGGGGTGGCCTTGGCCTGGAGCAATTGCTGAGAGCTTTGTATAGGGTAAGGCATGGAGATCCCATCCATTGGAAAAGTAAGAACAGAAGAAAAGGCAATCCAAGGGCAGAAACAGCACGGGCAAAGGATGAAAACTTTTTAAAGACCACTGTTGTCTTCTGAGGCTCGAAAGAATGGGAATGGGGGATGTGCAGGCTGAGGTCAAATGGCCAAAGGTCTTGAATGTCAGGCCAAGGCATCTGAAGAGTATCCTGGAGGCCAGGGGTTGGCTCAAGCACCAAATCCAGCCTCTTTCTGTAAATTGATTTTATTGGAACCCAGCCATGCTCGTTCGTTTACACATTGTCTATGGTAAAAAGGCAGAGCTGGGTAGTTGCAACAGAGACTGAAGGGCCCACAAAGCCTAAAATACTTAGTATTTGGCCCTTTACAGAAAACGTTTGCTGACTCTTGCTGTAGGGCCTGAGGAGCCATTTAAGATCTTTAAGTAGAGAAGTGGCAGGACCACAGATCTATATTTTAGGAAGTCCCTGATGAAAGCCTTGAAGAGGAAGTTCTAGAGAAATGGCCTGGACAGTGGGTGAGGAGGAGAACGAGATGAGTTTTTGGCAGCCACAGCCACTTGGGACATTCGGCTAATTATCTCTTAAACATGAAAATGATGTAAAGTGAAAACAAAAAAAAGGCAGAATAAAAATTCCCCCTGCAAACAAACAAAAATGCTTAAGAATATCCAAGCCAACTCTATTCAGAAAAATAAATATATGAGCTTCCACAAACAGAAATTTATCTTCCTTTCAGTATTTTCCATTGTTTTGTCCTACATGTTTTTTTCTTGTTTTTTCAACTTTTATCAGCAAACATCATTATTTCAGCAAGTCCCACCTTCTTCCCTCTCCCCCAACATATTCCAAATGGAACCTGAGGTATTTATTTGTCATGCCCGTCTAGTTTGTTCTTTCAATAACATTTCAAGCCATAACAGTATGTTCTGATTCAAGTCAATCTTGCTAATTTAATAAGGAAAACAAGGACAGAAAATACTTTAGTGAAACCCAAGTCCCAAAGAGAATGCAGAAAATAAAAACACCATTCCTGGGTTTGAAATTCTTTAGACAGTCCAGAAAATCATCAGCATACTTCTCCTGGGGTTGGTGGTGTGAGTCACTTCCACTTCATTAGGGATGCTCCCAGGCCTCCTGCTAGGAACCTTTCCCGCAAGGGTAGAGACAGAGTCCCTTTTCCAAGGTAGCATCTGGTGGCCTCGTAACTCACCTCCCAGGAGCAGAACAGACCCTTGAGATCCTTCCCAAGGTGCCAACACAACTGTGTGAGCCTCTTTGACCCCAAGATGCTGCAATGGTCTTTGGAAACCAGCAAAACAGTGGAATCACTGTTAATGAGAATTACCATCCCAAAGAGCTCCAGAGCCTTTTTTATGAGACACGCAGGCATATGGAGCACTGATATCTCCTTTGGTTATTCAGGCTACTGTTCCTGTAACTCGCCCCAACATGCTAAAAGGGCCTGAGTACAGATTTTCAGCACAGCCATACAGACCACAGAGCTTTCATTAAGTATCTAACTTCCAGACTCCCTCTTTCCCTGACTTTCTACAGCTTCCTTCCTACCTACTATTTCTTTCCCCTCCCTTCCTCCCATGTTTATCAGAAACCTGGTATGTGCTTGGTGGTGAGTGTGCAGAGGTGAAACTGTGAAGGATGCAATTGCCAGGGTAGGGGCTGGGGAAGGCCAGTCAAATCACTGAATACGGAATCGCACTTGGGCATCCTCGGAGCTGATGGAGACTAAAACAAGGCATCATCTACGCACCAAAA